TAATCTTCGACAAAGGAGCAGAGGGCCTACAATGGAGAAAGAAAGTCTCTTCAACAAATGGTGCTGGGAAACTGGACAGCCACATGCAAAAGATTGAAAATTGACCATTCTTCTCACCACACACCAAAATAAACTCAAAATGGATCAAAGACCTAAAGATTAGGCCTGAGACAATAAGTCTTTTGGAAGAGAATATAGGCAGTACACTCTTTGACATCAGTTTCAAAAGAATCTTTCGGACACTGTAACTCCTCAGTTGAGGGAAACAATAGAAAGAATAATCAAATGGGACTTCATCAGACTAAAGAGCTTCTTCAAGGCAAGGGAAAACAGGATTGAAACAAAAAAACAGCTCACTAATCGGGAAAAAATATTTACAAGCCACTTATCCGACAAAGGGTTAATCTCCATAATATACAAAGAACTCACACTGCTTAACAACAAAAAAACAAACAACCCGATCAAAATATGGGCAGAGGACATGAACAGACATTTCTCAAAAGAAGATATGAATATGGCCAATAGACACATGAAAAGATGTTCATCATCGCTAATCATCAGGGAAATGCAAATCAAAACTACACTAAGATATCACCTTCCCCCCGTTAGATTGGCAAAAACATCCAAAACCAAGAACGACAAATGTTGGAGAGGTTGTGGAGAAAGAGGAACCCTCATACACTGTTGGTGGGAATGCAAACTGGTACAGCCACTATGGAAAACAGTATGGAGATTTCTCAAAAAGTTAAAAATAGAAATACCCTATGACCCAGCCATCCCATTACTGGGTATCTATCCTAAGAACCTGATATCAGATATCTCAAGAGTCCGTTGCACCCCTATGTTCATCGCAGCATTATTTACAATAGCCAAGATGTGGAACCAGCCTACACGCCCAGAAACTGATGATTGGATAAAGAAGATGTGGTATATATACACAATGGAATACTACTCAGCCATAAAAAAAGACGAAATTGGCCCATTCACAACAACGTGGATGGATCTCGAGGGCATTATGTTAAGCGAAATAAGTCAGTCAGAGAAAGACGAACTCTATATGACTCCACTCATAGGTGGAAATTAGTATATTGAGAAGGAGATCTGATCGGTGGTTACCAGGGAAAAGGGGGGGTGGGGGGAGGGTACGGAGGGGGAAGTGGTGTACCCACAACATGACTAACAAAAATGTACAACTGAAAAAAAAAAAAATTTTTGTTGCATTTAAATTTTCTAGGAGGGATAAATATTTGCTTTTTTCATTTTGTAATCAACAACAAGTACTATTGTTCAGATATAATGATCAGAAAATGTGGTCTGTCCTACTTCTAACTATTTGGATGTGATGAATTTTAGTAAATATACATATCTATGTAACCACCAAAAAAAAAAAAAAAAAAAGTTCTGGAGATGGAATAGTGGTGATGGTTGTACAACAATGTGAGTGTGCTTATTGCCAATAAACTGTACACTCAAAAATAGTTAACGTGGTAAATTTTATGTTATGTATATTTTATCACAATTTAAAAAAATCAAGTGCTAAGACTGAGAGCTTTAAATCATTGAGAGTCCTTCTTTAGAGAAAGTACTTCGGTACTTCTAGGAAGGCCAAAAAGACACTGTGCACCTGGTAAAATGACATTAATAAGGCAGACAACTTTAGTTTCCTCTTGTAAAATCGTATTTTGTTCTCTCTTGACTTGCTTCCAAATTTCTTTCATCTACTAATGAACAATTCCAAACAATAGTTTCCTCACCTACATGCATACTGCTGCAATAAAAATGAAAACAAAACCTATAACTGGGTTTTTTGGCTTAGCTCATTTGACTTAGGTTTCAGTTACATACCACCAAAAGTCTTGACAAACATAAGAGGCAGCAAAGAAATCTGGACAAACACAGAAAGTAATAAAACTTGCAATCACATGGGCTACACAGAAAAGAAAGGAAAACAAAACAGAAGCGACATGCTCCAAAAAACACTGAAGACAGCAGTAAAGATTTATTTTCTTTTTCTGGTATTAGTCACAAAGGAAGGTAAATGCAGTTGTCCACTAATAGTGTTCTATTAAGCAAGTCTATCAAATATGGACTCCAACTTCAACCTAGGCTTTTTCCAACCCACCTTCCCACTACTTTACATTTATATATCTCACCTGTGTTCAAGTTGGAGTCAGTAGTAGTCGCTTCACTTATCTACTATTTCAACTTTCAAAGTATTTTTATCAATAGTCTCTCTTCCCCAATGTAGTCAATGCTAATTAAAACATTTCTATTGGAAAAGCACATATTATTAATAACTTTGCTGAAGCTGGATTAGAGAATATCAGCAAAGCCATAGCCCTTCAGAAGTTTTGATATCAATATAAATGAAAATCAAGCTCTAAAATTGGAACACAATTATTAGAATCAAAAGTTCTTTCTCAAGCCAGCCCCAGTGGCCTAGTGGTTAAGTTTGGTCCACTCCCAGCACAGACCTACGTCACTTGTGAGTGGCCATGCTGTGGCCACCCATATATAAAAAGAAGAAGATTGGCAACAGATGTTAGGTCAGGACGAATCTTCCTCAGCAAAAAAAAGTTTCTTTCTCACCTATAATATAGCCACATCGTAAAAATAAATATCTTACACAACTTCTACTAAAATTACCCCTAGTTCTGTAACTGAAAATTGGAAAAAAAGACACTGATAATGTGTTAAAATAAGAGTTTTAGTCATATATGTAGAGAAATCCTTGTTGCAACATTGTAAGTACTTTAATTTATAAAAGAGATGAGGAGAAGAAAATATAGGAAAATATCTTAATGACATTGGGTAAAGCAAAAATTTAAACAAAACAAGTATGGGGCCGGCCCTATGGCCAAGTGGTTAAGTTTGCCTGCTCTGCTCCAGCGGCCCAGGGTTTCACTGGTTCGGATCCCGGGCACGGACATGGCACTGCTCATCAGGCCATGCTGAGGTGGCGTCCCACACAGCACAACCAGAGGCTCTCACAACTAGAATATACAACTATGTATGGGAGGGCTTTGGGGAGGAGAAGAAGATGAAGAAAAGAAAAGATTGGCAACAGATGTTAGCACAGGTGCCAATCTTTAAAAGAAAAAGAAGAAACTATAAAGAAAAAGATTAATGGATTGAAAATATTAAAATTAATACTTTCTGTATGGCAGAAGATACTATAAGCAAAATCAAAGGTCAGGCCCCAGTCTGAGACGGCGTCTCTCGGAAGCACACAGTCAGCACTTGGGGAGCTTTCTTATTTTTTTTTTAAAGGTTGGCACCTGGGCTAACAACTGTTGCCAATCTTTTCTTTATTATTTTTTTTAAGGATTGGCACCTGGGTTAACAACTGATGCTAATCTTTTTTTTTTCTGCTTTATCTCCCCAAATCCCCCCTGTACATACACAGTTGTATATCTTAGTTGCGGGTCCTTCTAGCTGTGGGATGTGGGACGCCGCCTCAACGTAGCCTGATGAGCCGTGCCACGTCCGCGCCCAGGATCCGAATCCTGGGCCACCGCAGCAGAGCACGGGAACTTAACCACTCGGCCACGGAACCGGCCACGGAACCGGCGCTGGAGCTTTATACAAGTACTGATTCTTAGGTCTCATTCCCAGAGATTGTGAGTTTAAGCGGATGAAGTTGCAGCTGGGGTGCCTACGGTTTTGAAAGCTCCCAGAGCGACTCTATTGTAGCCAAGGGTGAGAAACATTGGCTTAGA